CTTTACATTCATCAACAACCTTTTTTGTGGTCAGCAGTCGATGATTGCAGGGCTTTAGGAAAAGCGATCACTGAGCGATCGCGCCACAGTCACGTATTGAAATTCTTTGAACATGGTAACTTTTTCTTTGAACATGGTATCTTTTTCTTTGAACATGGTAACTTTTTCTTTGAACATGGTAACTTTTTCTTTGAACATGGTAACTTTTTCTTTGAACATGGTAACTTTTTCTTTGAACATGGTAACTTTAAGGGATTTTTTGTATTGAGGCTGTATGACAAACTCAGCTATTTTTCCTTCATTCAATAAATAGAGAATAATACTTGGGTGTGATTTGATATAGAATTTCTCTTTGAATATTCAACTTGTTATCTCGTGAGCGAGAGCAGCGAACGAGTAAAGTATCGAGCAAGAGAATATAAACTGTTATAATCTCTTGGTATCGAGTTGAACAAGAGAAGAGAAGTTCCATATCTGCAAGCGACCATCTATTATTTTGTTTATCATGTAAACACAATAAGCTTTTACAGGGAAGAAAAGTCGACTTTTTAGAAAATGAAATTAAAGGTTTCACAATCCGCGAAAAAAAAAGTCGTAAAGCGCATCGGTGATAAGGCTCAAGATGAATAAATGCGTTGAACCATTGCAGAAGCAGACCATGGGCGTAGCTTTCTTTTCACAAAATTCTCAGTTATTGACTTTTTCCTTACCGAAAAAAGGAATATTTTCATGTACACGGCCGAAATCGGCCTGTGGCAAATCTTCCAGTTCTCGATTTTCGTTCTCAGCCACGAGAAATACCATTACCCAAATCAAAGACCTAACTTTTCGAATTTTCTCAGGGCGGGAAATCCTTCTAAAACACCGCAGTTTATCTAATAATTTTTTTCCTTACGCTTTCTCATAAAGAAAATCATTTAAATCATCGCATTAACCGAAATTCAACTTTTTAGCCGATCCGTGCTATAATTACAGAAACCTGAGCGATGCTGACAGAAAGAGCACTTACAGCACACCCGACGGTGAAGAAAAATGTGATGACGAATCCTCATCCATAATATTCGGGAAATGGTATCGTTTCGTGGGAGATGCAGGAACAAAAATGCCAACCCAGTGCGTACCGTATTATAGATGTGGTGCGGCCTGGTCAGGCTGGCTAAAAGGTGGTCACCCCACATTGGCAGATGGTGAGGTTTCTTCAGAGGTCTGCTTTACCAGAGGTGGAGATTGTTGCAAGAAATCAAACAACATTAAAGTGAAAGACTGCGGATCCTACTTTATTTACAAACTGCAAAAGCTCCCTACTTGTCCTCTGCGCTACTGTGGCACAGACTAAATGCTATAAGCAAGTTATTCTG